CTGTGTGTCTCTTCCCCTAATCTCTCCTCATGTCAATATTCTAATAGTTTTTCTTCCAAGTCCTGAAAGAGCTTGTCAGTTCAAATTCCACTTTACAGGAATCTAGAAGTATCAACAACTGGAATCTCATTTTCAGTTACTCCAAGTTTATAACACAGTGTTGAGTATAAAGCTCCGACCACAGAAAATATGTTTCTCTCTTTGCATTATTTAAATATAGCCACATTAAACCCAATTCATCTTTGAATATAGCTAGGATGCTTTTTATTCTCTTTCTGAGGGTTATTCAAGAGTTTAAAAATTGCTTACATATGGGATCTGAAGCAAAGGATGCCATGGGGGTCTGGGATTCTGTTCCTACAGTCTGATTTCTTTGTCTCCCTTGCTCCTGTCCTATAAACCACCTCTACTGTGCAACCATGTGAATTTATGACGCGAGGATTGAGAGGATCGGCCATGAGGGACAGTTGTAAATAACTGTGTGGATAAATAGTGTCCTTTGGTCAAGTTTGGTTTATCTACAAGGCTCTCTTGGTACCTCAGGGACTGCCTTTCCAAAAATATATTAATTTCCCTCTGCAGAGTGTAAGACTTCATTCTATAACTCTATTTTACTGTAATATGATTCTTCTCTGAGACTTGCCAGTAATGACAACCAGATGACTTGGCACCCACAATGCACTCGATATCTTAATATTAGCTGGGTTATTGTACTGAAAACAAGGCTTGTTTATAATAATTCTACAATGAAAATGCTTCCTTAACACCACCTTCCCTGTAGAGTATGGGGGGGGGAATGGGATGGAAGGGTGGTGGGGGAGGGAAATGGGAGGAAGAGAGAGAAGGAGGGAGGGAGGGAGACAGGACTGAGATCGATATGTAAAATAAGAATAAATAGATAAATAATAAAATTAAAAAAAATTTAATGCTGGACCAGGAGACTATTGCATAACAAAAGAGAATGTAAGTCTTAATACCTTATTGCTATTGCTTTTCTGCTTTTGAACCATTCGTCATGCCTGAGCAGCTGGTAGTGCTGTAGTCCAGGTTGCTGGGACAGAGGGTATGACTGAAGGAACCTGAGGCAGTTAGGTGTGTCTAAGTGTCTAAGTCCCAGATCAGCAGTGGTATTCTCAGCTGGATATAACTAAGTTACTGAGTTTAATGAATTCCTCTGAACCAGGACTCATTTATGGTCTTAGCCATAGGTATGGCCTTACATTACTTAGGATTCCCTTTCTCTCTTTCTTCTTTCCTTCCTTCCTTTCTTCTTTTCTTCCTTCCTTCCCTTTCTTCTTTTTTTTTCTCTCTTCCTTCCCTCCCTTCGCCTCCCTCCCTTCTTGCATCTATCTTTCTGACAAGATCTCAATATTTAGCCCACAAAATTTATTATAAAACAATATCCACCTGCCTCTTCCTTCCAGTGCTGGGTTAAAGGCATATGCCATCACATTTGGCATGTAAATTTTCATTTCTAAATGTGTTTCTCTGTTGGGAGCTGTGTAGCCTAGTCTCAGATCAGCATATGACTACCTGTCCAATGGGTTTCCAAATGTAGTGAGAGATGCTGAAATAGCAGATGAATAGCATTCTTGATTTTTTATTTATGGGTCAGTTTACTATATTGTTTTAGCACTGATCCAACAAGCTGCTTCTATGTCAGGACAGTTAGCACTTGATATCTTTAATGCTTGCTACCCAGTCATGAAAAAGACCATCCCTACCTTGACTTTGGTGAGACTTGCATGTGTATTTGTCTACATTGTGACCAATAGTTGCTTATGCCTAATGGGAAGACTACAATGATGTCACCGCTTTTATTTGAGTTGAATAAAAACATTCCATTTGTCAACAGTGATTTTTCCATTTTAAAAATACTTTTTATGGCTTATATTACATACATATGTTGTTTGTTGAATCCATTATAATGGGAAAATGGGTAGGATAAATTGAATGAGAAACATGGTGTGTCACAATTATAAAAGAAGAAAGACCAAAGGCCAAATGGCTAAAGATGTGGCTTGAAACAAAGTCAATTGGTTAGCAATTTGAATATAGATGATGAGACTCAGAGTCAGACAAAGTGAGGGAAGATATATAGTGATTTGGGTTTCTTTTTTCCATTTCTGTATAATTCAAAAGAAACTGGTTTAATACTTAAATAACATAGTATTTCTTTTACTTTTGCTTTTTTGTTGTTGTTTCTGTTGTTTTGATACAATGTTTCACTGCCAGGCCAGTCCTAAGACACACTCAGTAGTCAGGCAGGTACTGAATTCACTGCGATCCTCTGTCCTCGGTGTGGTGTTCCTAAGAGTTGGAAACACAGGTGTGAGTCACCCTGCACATCTTTTTAAAAATTTGGAGTTTACTTTGCTTTGTTGTTTTGAGTCTTAATGCAAAGTAGGCAGATATTCCCGTCATTTTACAGTGCTTCTTATTAAGTATTTTATATATAAATTAGAGAAGACGTCCCTAAACATTATTTGTTTTTCCCTAGGGCTGTTGTGGTGGATGGAATGAGAACAACCACACCTCCCCAACCATAGGCTCTTACATGGCATGCTTAGTCCTCATTGGAACTGTTTGGAAGGGTTGGGAGGTGTGTTCCTTTTGGAGGAGGCATGTCACCGGAAGCAGGCTTTGAGGTTTGGAAAGCCCTCTCTAGGCTAGCCCAGCATGCCTTTCTCTCTCTTCATTCTGTCTATGGATCCGGATGTAAAGCTCTCATTTTCCATTTCCGTGTGTTCTTCCTCTCCTCCATGCCTGTCACCGTCTAGCCCTCTGATTCTATGTGATCAACACTTTCCAATTCCACAAGGAAGGAAATACACTCTCTTCCCAAGTCCGGTCATTTTATTTACTAAAATATACTCTCATTCAATCTTGGTGGCTGCATATGATGGAAATGACTTTTCTATATGCTTTTGAATTAAATTTATTTTAACTTTTACATGACATATGTGATGGTCCCCAAGCCTTTGGGATCGAGGTTATATTGTAGATGTTTCATTTTGGGATGGGATCTCTGAAATTTGACTAGTTGTTAGTTTCTGTAGTGGTCTTTGTCTGTGCAAACAAACTTCTTTGATGGTATGGAGAGAGGTACACTTATCTGTTTATATAATTAAAAAATTTTAGAATACAGTTGGGAATTACAGTGGTTCAGGAACATGGCAATAGTAGCTTTTTTCTTAGGGTACATGACTTCATCATCTGGCATGAGCAATTGATTAGGTTTGCAGTCCCAGGCATGAATTCCCTATTATTGTAAGGCTTTAAATAAAAAAGTATAATATGTATACATATATAAATAATTTAAATGAAATTATAACACTGTATTAATAGGGCTCTCCCTCAAAACCTTAGACTAGCAAACTCCTCATTGCCAGGCAAGGTAAACCTCCCTTTGAGTAGTTAAGGGAGTACAAGCGAACACTTCTGCAAAACAGGCTATTTCATTGCCTTTGGTAAATTTGAAGGTTAAAAGGCACTATTGCTTAAGCCACTGAAAGTTTCAGACACAAGATTTAGAGGAATTGAGATGGAAATGACCTGGAGTCCCTCTGTCTGAGGACTCCCTCTATAGCTGGACTGTCTGCCAATGGAGAAAAGCAATCAAGAATCCTTCACAGCGGTACAGCGTATGAACACAAAATTACCAGTGTGCAAGATGTACCCAATTGTGCAATAGTGGCACTTGCGCCTTGGGGGTGACTAATAGCTGTCTAATTACACACCAGACTTTTGTAATCTTTTCAAACTGTAAATTAACTTCTCACTGGTTACCTTTTCCATGTCTGGCTCCCCACCCCAACCCTTCCCTCTACAGTCTCTGGGAATTACCACTGTGCACTCAGTATCTGTGAGAGCAAACTTTTCAGACTGCACACACGGATTAAATCATTCAGAACTTGCTTTACCGAGTCTGGCTAATGTCCTTTAATAACTTAATGTCCTTTTATATGTATCGTCTTGGGGATAGTGTCTCATCTTTTCAATGGCTAAAATCTCACTATAGATAAGTAGTACATTTTCTACAGTTCTTTATCCGTGTATTGTACGCCTAAGACATTCTGAACAACATTGTACTCAGGCCCTCCAAGCACACTGACTGAATCCTCCTTAGCTGGATAAATAGTCATGAAATTGGGCATTTTGGAGAACCTTCATGGTTGTCCATAACTGATGTAGTGGTTTTCATTTCCTCTGTATTTATTTTAGTGTTGCCATGCCCGGATACCTAGCAGCCCAATGTATGGGAAAGATCCACACAGACTCCCCATTTCATAGAGTTGGAAATCCAGCATGGAAGGGAAGCACAGCAAAGCCGGTCTACCATTGGTATTGGGAGTACGAGATGGTGGGATCTTACATTGTAGAAGACAAGGAAATACAGACAGCAGGTCCGACATTATTGCTGACCTATTAACTTCAAAGGCATAACTCTGACGTAGGCCCCACATAAAGTTTACACAGCCTCCTAAAATAGATTATCACCTGTTAAACTGCCTCTTAAGACATGAACCCATGGGAGACATTCAGATTCAATTCAAAACATTCATTGCTATTGTCTCTGCACAAGGGAACCCATAGTCATAAAGTCAAATTCATTTTGCCTTCTGCCTTCCTAATAGAACTTAGACCAGTCGCCATAGACAGGCGAGCCAACCACTTATGGAAATCAATTTGTTTTCTGCATCTGGGATTTAATTAATAAAAATATATGCTTTCAAGTGGTATCATTTTGCTTAATATGCTTAAATAAGAAAACTATCTGAGGCAATAAGACATCTATCTAATGCACAACTCAATAGAACTTCAAAACCTATATTCCTGTGCATGCTGTTCGTTTAATGTTAATCAATTAATGTTTCACAACCACAACAGCAAGCATTCGGGAAACAACTCACAAAAGCAGGTATAGCTGGTTATCAAATCCATATGTTCATCCACTCAAAATTTTAGTATTTCTAAATTTGGGAAGAAGTTCAACAGCATAAATTTCATTTGTAATGCACACTTTATTTTTGAGTTAATAGATTAATTACAGTCTTCTCAAAGGTCACCCATCAGCCAGTATCTGGGGTCAGAGAGTAAGTGAGGAATTGGCAATCAGGAAATGAGAGGAGAATTCTTCCTGGTCAAAGGAAAATAACAACGGCCACGAATCCAGGACAGTGGGTGACAGTGGTCAGCAAGAATGGAAATTAGAAAGAAGATCAGTAGAATCCAGATCCAGTGCCACAGCTTGGTCTGTAGCAAGAAGACTGGCAGGTTCTGTAGGGGACATAGGATGGGTGGCAGAATCCAGATCCATAGCCCAGGGAAGAGAAGCCATGGGGTCTAAAGCCACTGGATCCACAGCTCAGTGAGTAAGAGCTCCTTGACCCATAGCCCAGGGAGTGACAGCTGCCGGACCCGAAGCCCTGAGAGCCAGCATATGTGGTCCTGCAGGGACTGCAGAGGCTGGAGACCCTGGAGCTGTAGCTGGGCCGCTGACAGGAGCTTTGCACCACGTGGGAAGTCTGGCATCTGATGGGCTGGAAGCAGTTCTGATGGCAGCCGCTGCGGAGAGAGGAGCCCACATGGCAGGTTCTGGGAGAGCAGAAGTTAGTGCTGTAGATCAGGTGGCGGGGGTAGGAAGAGCCACAGGAGGAGTGGGGGTAGTTCAGGTGATCTCCACAGGAACGGGAGGAGAAGTTTCCAGAACTGCAGCTGTAGGACATGCTGATGGCAGAGGTGAGTTGAGCTGAGTGTAACCGAAGATTCTGAATTTGTAAATCACTCCTTTTCTGGGACCTTTATATACTCCCAGTGGTGGGTGTGGCTTCCTACAAGGGCATTGTTTCTGCATTTGGACACCCTCATCTGCATGTCTGGACCTCAGTAGTTTTCTTTGTAATTGCAGTTAACAAACTCCTTTTATCTCACATTTAAGGGAGAACTCTTTTTTTTTTTTATATGTCTGAGTCAATGAACTGCATTTATGTTGCAGATGCTATGACTGTATTTAATTAGTGCCTCTGCTATTATGGCCAGGAATTCCCCTTTATTTTCTCTGTCTATGACTTGTGTGTGTGTTCACGTTTGGGGAGGGGAACTATTCTCAGGGATGACAAAGTCGTTATTCTCAATTGGTCATGGGATAAGAGGCAGGACAGGACTCTGCACTGTCAAGAAGCCATTTCATAAGTGGCTTCCATATCAATTCATTGGTTCTCACTCTGCAGTATAATGTTCAGTTTCTTATACACTATTATCAGTGGCTATTATATTCAGTCTGTAGGAGCTCTATAAAAGCAAGCCAAAGGAATTCAGACAGCGTACAAAATCATGCTAATCCTATGAAAATGCGTAGAATAAAGAGGATTATTTAGAATAATACAGTCAAAACAATATGGGTCCATTATGGGGCCCTGTAGAGCCACACATCAGAAGTGACATACATAAGCTGTACAAGGGTCATTGGTGCCGGCAGGGATGGTACTGCCCATTGATTTTCGATTTGACCTTTTGATGGTTACCGTCCTCAAATTTTTCTACAGTTTGCCCACCCAACCCGTATCATTAAACATCATTTCAAATTGACGGATGTTTTCTGAGCTTATCCACGCTCACTCTACCCATCTCTGTACTGTTTCACTGTCCTTACCAGAGGCTGATCCAGATTTAGAGATTATTAAAGAGGATACTTTTATGAATCATAAGTATCAGGACAATATATCATAAATAAGAATGCATCTAAGTATGGATGTTAATTTAAAATGAAAAAAAAAAAAACAATAGTTAAATAACCCTAAACTTACAAAGTTAAAAATAACAACAAACGCCACAAAAATCAAGATGATGCCTCCATCGTCACGTATGCATCTAGGTATTTCTTACCCAGGTGAATGGTCACCTACTTTCCTGCAGGAAGAATGGAAATAATATTCTTCCTTTGTAAACCGTGTAAAGGAAAATACTGAAAGTATGGGAGATGACAGAAACAGCTCTTTTCAACATCACTATTTGTTGTTGGAATGTCTCAGCTTTCCGATTCCTAGAACTTGTTCACAGTGGGTGCTTCAAGGCTCCCTAGGACCATGTTCCTCGCAGTCAGATGTCCCTCTTTGGGTCACTCGCAGGCCTGCAAGCTGGGGCTGTTATTTATGTGATAATCAGTGGCAAATGGCTGTGAGCACTGGAGTGTAGGCACTGGGAAAGTTGCTGATACAAAAATGAAATGACTCTTCTCAGACCCAGACAAAATTACAAGTGGGGAAGGGCTCACTCCAGCCTCTCTGAGGTAAGCACTGCTTCAAAGCCTTTTAAGCAGCCACAGCATATATGGGTTATTACTTCTCCACACACTACAGGATTTGCATGCATCATAACTGTACATATGCAATGAATTTGTTTTGTTCTTCCATTTTGGATCACACAACAATTCAGCAAAGATGTTTTAGACAAAAAACAAAACAAAACAAAACAAACAAACAAACAAACAAAAAACTAGCTCTGCACAGCCCTTCACCAATGAGCAGTAGCTTACACAATTCTCTCTTATTTTGTTTTTCACTTAAAAATATGTTCTGGCCAGTACACATTTGTGTATGCCTGTAGATAACTATTGCTGTTCCCAGGTAAGCTTCATTATTCTCTGGAAGAAACTCACTATAGGGTGACTAGACCTCCTGGAAGGTTGCAGAACTCCTTCATAGTTTTAATACTTAACAGATAAAATTTCCCTGAAGTTCATTAGTTTGATGTTATGGGAAGATGGGTTCAGTATTAGTCGTTCAAGCAGCCCTCTGGACCTGCTCATGGACTGGACACTGCCACCCATGACTCTCCTACTACAAAGCTGTGGCTTCTACTTCATCTCCCTAGAGCATGGGAAAGGCCAGAGAAGACAAAGCCTTGTGATCTGAGAGACAAGGAACTCAACAGGAACTTTTCTGTATTTTCTCAAAGTTTATCTTATAATCTTCTAAATGTTTAAATGTCTTTCTCCAGGCTTCAGGTAACTGGGGTAAAAGTCTTGGTTAGTTTTTATTACTAGATTTTGTTTTCAAATCAATACTTTCTAAAATCTGTCTGAAAACAAACATCCTGTCACAACTAGGATTAAGTTTCCATCACTGGAGGCAAGCTCAGTGTTGGCCAAATTAATGAAGCTTATTCAAGCCAGCACCTTTGCCCATCATGACACACCATTGTGACTACCTTCTCAGGCACGCACTAGCCTCCTCTTTATTCTTACATACACCCTGCCCTCCTCCCTTCAGCATGATGGGATTTTAAGAGCACAATCAAATCCTGTATCAAATCCAGCCGCATAGTGTGTTTCTTTTACATGTAGTCCCCATGGGCTTTTGATCAAACTCCAAATTATATGCCAATACCTGAAGGTTAAAAAGATCACCTGAGATGTGGACTTCTGGCCTCTTTTAAAGCATGCTAACCAGCTGCTGTCACTCTTGGTTGTCTGGAGCTCAGCACAAGCAGGCGGGTGTGTGCATCATTACTCCTAGCCACTCCAAGCACCCCTCATTCTTCTCAGACCAGGACCACACCCCATGCACTGTTAGTCACTGTATTTATTCATCAGCATCCCTATGGTTAGTAAGAGAATGAGTGACAGAATGAGGAGCTTCTGTTTAACAGCAAGAACATAAAAAAGAAATTCCAGAGGGGGGGGGAAATCACAAATACTTCTTTCTTCATCTTCCATGCTTAAACAAAAATGCCTGTATTGCCGGATTAGGAAACACTAACCTTAAAACCAATATCGGCCCATCCATCCACATTACTTATGCTTACAAACTGCTTCTTAGACAATTCAGTGATTCGAAGTTAGATCCTCTGGCTTAAAATTATTTATAAGCCGGTAGAATCTGAGTCAGAAAAGTTTGGGTCAATAGTGGCATTGCTATGGAGTAGCAGAATCAGCAAGGGGTCATTAAGGTTATAAAATAAACTGAAAGATAAGTAAATAAATAATAAACACAGAACTTCATCTGCTGTACTTGTGACTCTGATATTTTACAGTGGTTGGAAAAATACTCCCATCATTCCCTTCTGTCACAGGCTCAGCATCTAGCCTGTAGCCCCCATGAAGGAACCCTGACAATGCAGAAATAGCACTCCATGCCTGACTCCCCACCCACACCTGCTCAAGGTTGGGCTAGACAATAAAGCACAAGTAGGAATTTGAAAACATGTATCTAACTTCTGTTTGTACATTGTGATTCTATTATAAAGGGCAGTTCCCTGTATCCCCATGGTATGCCCTCTGTGGAGGTCTAGCAGTTATTAGCAATCTTCGTGTTCTGGGAATGTGGAAGATGGATGTAGTGGTATTAATATCCATTCTGAGAAATGCAGTATCTCAGAGCTTAAACAGTGGTCGTGTGTCAGTACCCAATGACACTGTGCAGAGGGCCCCGATGACAAGTAATGACTCCTTTAGCCATAAATACCAGAGAGAAGAATAGCGATTTTGTCACATTGTGACAGCTGAAAATGGGAGGCAGAATACAAAGAACTTTTGGGTTTAAAGTCAGATGGAGAGTATTCTGAGTACAGGACTGATACACAAACAAATCCTGGTGTACAGTAGGTAGGGCTTTCCGAGGAGTCAGGACCACAGAACTACAAAGGCAGACTTATAGGTGACTCCAGAGAATAAAACATGATGATTATGTCAATATCAAGTTCTTTGCATGTCTTCATTCTTGTTGGCTGTTTCTAGTCAATGTTTGTAATTTCTGTTCAGAAGTAAGATGCTTCAGCAGGGATGCTGGATAATCTTGAGCTGTATTCTACTTAGTCCTAGAAGAAACAATGAAACATTGCTTGTCTGAGGGCTTTGCCTGCCCTGGCACTCTGGGGATCTGAACTTTTCCTGACAATGGGTTGCCACCATCTGCTCCTCTTTTAAAGTCTTTGCAAGGAACTGTGGGAAAATGTGTGAGCACAGAGAGCAAGTCCATGTTTACTCTGCCTATATTTATCACAGTAAGATAGGTGACCTTAAAGTGAGTGGTAGAGGGGGAAAGGAGAGGGAAAGGGACAGGAGAAGAAAAGGGAGGAGGAAGATGAGAAAGGGAAGGACGAGGGAGATAACAGGGAGGATGGGGAAAGGCAGGGAATAAGGAGGGAGAAGGGGAGAGGATGGGAGGGAGGAAGGGAAAAGACGAGAGAGAATCTCGTACAGAACAAGAGGAGAGTGAGGGCTCTTCTAGGTGCGTCTGGATTTGCAGAGGGTTGGAATCAAAGACCTTGGTAGAATGCTTCCCATTTATTTCTTCTCCACCTTTACCTTGAAACTGCTGAGTAAGCTCAGGTCCTAGACAGGAATAGCTTCAGAAGGAAAGAGAGCTCCATTTCCCCTACACTGGGGATAGTTCTTCCTGCTCCACTGGCAATTTTGTGGCAGATGGGAGAACAGAGGGAGAGAAGCTTCCGGGGTGATGACATCAGTGTATGTTGAAGACAGAAGACCAGGGAAAACTCCAACAGCCAGAACATTCCTCTCATGAAATTTAATTATCAACGACTTAGTTTTATTTTTAGTTATCTTCAATCATTTTCATATAAAAATATGTATAGTGAGCAGGGTGTTGGTGGCACACTCCTTTAATCCCAGCACTCGGGAGGCAGAAACAGGCGGATCTCTGTGAGTTCAAGGCCAGCCTGGTCTACAGAGCTAGTTCCAGGACAAGTTCCAAAACAATAAAGAGAAACCCTGTCTCAAAAACCAATACACACACACACACACACACACACACACACACACAC